TTTAAATATAAATTATATTTAAAATTTATATAAATAAATATTTTAAGATATATAAATTATATTTTCAATTTAAAATAAATAATTTATATTAGAATATAAGATTTTTTAATTATTGACATTTTATTTTAACATATTAAATTTTAATATATAAATAATATATTAAATTAAAAAATTTGTAAGATTTGTCTTACGACAAGGTTAATTTAATACTTTAAAATTTAATTTTTATGATTATTAAATTAGTCTTTAATTAGAACATTATCTGAACTATCTCTTTTTAGCAAAAAACTTTTTTAAAAAATACTTTCAATAAGAATAACTATTACAAATGTTCTCAAAGTTCACTTTTAATATATAAAGGTTAATTTTATCTCGCAATAATTAAGATAATTTAATTTTATCATTTAAATAAAATTCATTATTATAAATTCATTTTTAAATATATAAATGATTTTTTAAAATAAAAAATTTAACACTAATAAATTATATTATAATAAAATATTATTTTTATTTATTTATAATTTATTTTAAAAATATTAAAATCTAATTCATAAATAATTTTTTATATAAATAAAAATTGAATTAAATAAGAAGTTAAAAAATTTAATTATTATTATTTAAAAACATTAGTTGTATATTAATTTTTTACATTATTTTTGTAAAATTTAAAATAGTTACTCGTTGGATTTTTTATTATCATGAAATTGATTGAACTATCGAAATTAACTCGATCTAGAAGCCCCAACGATTGAAGAAGTGACTTGGTGGATTTGCCCACGTCAAGCTTGGAATGCGGTGGCACGTGGAATGTCCATATGAAATATAAAAGTATTCAGACCACGAAAGATCACAATGAGTTGGTTACGCATACGAAAAGTTATTGTTGTTGCGAGGTTCTTGCCCTATTCTAGTTCATTGTTTTTCAAAATGGCTTACGAACCCTTTTATTTGTTTCTTTTTCTCTTATTAAAATGAATTTAGTAGCGTTTCACTATGTCTCTGGTTCTACAATTATATGAGATAAACTTAAAGTTGGTACTAAATAATGTGGATTAAACTTAATCAATTCGTCTATTTATTTTTCGTGGGGTTAGACAAATAAGTGTATTAACTTGTCTAATTCGTTTATCCCACTAGTGGAAAATCAGCATATTACGTCATCCCTTTTACGTCGGAAATACGAAAATTTGACGTAAAAAAAACGTGATGGCATTTTTGTAATTTTTGTGAACTTTTTTACGTCAGACCTGGTAGGGTCTGACATAAAAAGTCAAATCTACGTCGGAGATATGTTGTATCTGACGTAGATTTGAACTTTTACGTCGGACCCTACCAGGTCCGACATAAAAAAGGACGCAAATTTGAATAAGAGAGTGCGAGGCACACCGCGCGCATTTACTCTTCATCACTTTTCGTTTTTTTCTCTATAAACCCTCTCCCTCTCCTTTGTTACTGAATCGTTTTTTTGTCTTTTGCAGAGGGATGAACTCTTTGTTACTCATTCGCACATTGTTTCTGCTCCTCAAGTATGAATCAAGGTTTCGTTAGCACTTTTCTACTTCGCATTACTACTGTGGCTATCTGTTTTATTCGATTTTTTTGTTGTTCTATTTGTATAGGTAATGAACATTTTCTTTTGGGTTGTTCTCCGAACCAGAATGGCTTGTTCTGCTTGCAGAACGGGCCGTTCTTGCATTCTTATGTTTTTTTTTTGTTTTTTTACTACTTTTTTACGTCGGATTTCGTAATGTCCGACGTAAATTTACGTCGATTTTGCAGGTCCGACGTAAAATTTACGTCTCCCGCTTTTACGTCAGTATGTTTTCTGACGTAAAAAGCTCAAAATATCTGACATAGTACACTTCTTTTGTACTAGTGTCCCGTGAATTCAATCCACTAATTTGATTGTCAACTTATCAATTTATTTTTTTATGCTATTGAAAGATATATTTTTAATGAATTTATATTGAATTAATATTTTTATTTTATAATTTAATTTCTATTTTTAAGTAATTATTTTCATTTAATATAAATAAAAATATATTATTTTAATCACATATTTTATTTAGTGCATTTTTATTTAGAGTATCTTTTTTAATAGAGATATATATTAATTTGGTCCTTTGTATAAAAAAAATAATACTTCTAATCAATTTTACAAATAATAAAATTATAAGTTAAAGTGATAATATATATTAAAATATTTCGATTGAGAATTTTTTTTAAAAAATTGGGTAGATCGAAGGTAGGTTAACTTGTCAACCCACTATATTTAACCCACTAATTCAATTTCCTAAAATGGGTTAACCTACCAACTCATCGCTAAGTGGAGTAAATTACATTTTTCAACTTGTTTTTTTTATGTGGGTCAACCCGCCTGCCTTGTCTTTTTGGTTGGTCAAGTTGAACTACTTCACTTTAGGTGAGTTGACTCATTTTGTCACCCCTACCAAATGCAAAACACTTCAAATTTGGTCTATGAAATTCTCTTTGATGGTGTCAAACTACACTTCCATTATGGGAACAACGGCCTTTTTAGTAGTTTGGAATGACCCATTCCAGATTGGAAACGGCCCACTCCAGGCTACTAAATCACCCTTATTGGGCTTTGGGTCTTCTGATGTCATATTGAGTCGTTTCTAGGCTTTCGCCTCAAATCCCATCAATGCAAATAACCCACCCATAGTAGTAGGTTGTTCCACCTTTTGTACCCCTTTGACTTGGGCAGCCCTCGCCTAACAATCTTTAGCCATATGGACAAACATGCCACATTGGAATACTTAAACTCTTAGGAAGAACAATCCTTGATCAAGTGAGCTCTTCCACACTTAAAACATCTATCATTCTTAGCCCCTTCTAAGAGTGTCATGGAAGGTCTCCTTACAATAAAACCCCCTTGAGACTAGGGAGACCTGTCTTAAGGTTTTCTTTATTTACCACCCTTCTTGGACCCAACTAAGCTTTCATGGGTTTCCACCACTCAACTTCCTTCTATCAATTTTTTCAATTGATTTTGCCTTCTCCACTAATGTAGGAGCTTTGTGATGGTTATAAGAACCACCACCTTTTTCAAATCATACTTCAATATTTCACTAAACTTGCATCTCTAAGCCTCAAAAGTGGCATGGGAATAAAAATAGGCCAAAGGCTCATATCTGCCAGCTTACTCTTAGACTGTTATGTTCCTTTTATGTAATCTCAAGAACTTAAATTCCTTTGCAAACTTTGCATTATCAGAAAAAAATACTTTTCACACACTCTCTTAAAGTTTTCCCAACTCATAACTTCCCCTTAGCTTCCACCATCAGTTGAGTACCTATCTACTAGTATTCAACATCACCCACCAACACATACACCACATAAGTCAACTTCCTGATTTTTGGACATTCCATTACCTTGAAAATCTTTTCCATCTCACTAATTCATTGGTCAACTACCTATGGATCAATATTTCCTTTGCACTAAATGTTAAGTCAGAAAAAGAAACTCTCAACAAGGTTTTGAGTGAGACAAATATAATACATGTTATCTCTGACAAGTGTGTTAGTGTTTCAGAAAAACATAAGAATAGGTAAGATGAAGAACAAGCATATGCATCAGATGATACAAGACGTCAGACGAAAGGCTAACACAAGCATCCAACAAGGAGAAAATGTGTCAAGCACAACCTAAAGCGAAACATAAAGACTCAGACGAAGCTTGGTCAGGAAAATTCAATGCATTAATAACAAATGCTCAGACAGAGGTCAAGGCTTGAGCTACATATAGACTACCAGACACAGACGAAAGACATCACGCAATCACTTGAGGAATTAAGTTTCAAAGGAATATTTGAATATCGTCCACACTCACAGGAGAACACACAAAGTCATCGGAATTGTGGAAGAAAAGAAGAAAGGAGAAAATCAAGTGCAAAACTAAAAGCATGCATGTGTCAGAAAAAGTATATTACTTTTTCAGACAAGGACAAAATTCCACAGCTATAAACCAGAAAAGGACAAAAAGGTTCCTGGGTCTCTACTAAACTTAAACATTGCTGCTACCAAGACAAAGAATACTTCACACAAGGTCTATCACAAGAGGCAACATTTAATGCAAGAATCTGAGTATTAAGTGAGAAGATCAAACTAGTCGAGAACGACTATATCTACTTCAACAGACACACGGGAAAATTTCACAAGACTATATATATGTCTCAACATCAAACCTTAAAAGGCTGGCTGTTTTGGCCCGAAATGGTTCAAGTGAGAAAAAAAGTGATATCCAGCCCATGATGCAACGAAACCAGAGAAAGAGCGTATAGAGTCAAATGTACCATAGTGTATTCGTCTCTGTAAACTAAGGAGTTCTAAACGTGTACATTAGCTTTTATTATAACAA